GAACATTCCCTGAAAATTTCAGCTCCCCAGCTTTCCTGGTTCCCAAGTTAGCGATTTTCGCGCCAGGAACCCTCACGGCGCCATACGCGGAAACCATGCATGCCTGGGGGCTTAATTGAAATCTTTGAGTTCTATGGAGAAGGGGGAGACATAACCTCAAAATTCCAGCTTTCTGGCTTTCCTGGTTCTGAGTTAGCGATTTTCCCGCCAAAACTTACACCCCTCGTACGCGGGGTCTAGACTTGCGTGAGGGTTGTTACCGCGGTCCTAGGGTTGCAGTTGGCCGGGCGACCCACCAGCAGAATTTTGGCGCTGAGGCTTGCTTGGATGCCGAGTTGAAATATCCGGATAGACACACAAACACGCACACACACACACCGGGGTCGTCACACTATGCGTTTTTGTATTTGCATATAAGCAGAAACGTATAAAGACAGTGCCGTTGGCGACAAAAACCTGCGGGAAACTGCAAAAAACGCATTTTCGCATCCGCATCGGTGCGCTGTCGAATTATTCTTTTTGTTATACAGGAAACTTCTTTTTCCAGCGCTGATTTTTTTTAAAAGATTTTCAGGATCAGCTTCTTGAAGCGTCTAAAAAACTTGTCATTGCTGTGCATCATTTCCTTGGTGCATACTGCGGATCAGTACGTTGTGGATTCGATGTTCTCCCACTAAAAGTTTGTTTCTACACTCTTGTTTAAGTTACTGATTTCACTATGACTAAATGTGATCTTCATTCTCATGCCATATTTGTGCAAGTCTTACAGAAAGTTTTTTTTTTTTCTTAACCTATTTGAATATATGGTTTAGCAGCAGGGCGGCGAACAAACTCTTCCTTGGCAAAAACTAGTTCCGGAAAGATGCAAAGCATAGGTCGACGTGACATGCGCCAGACATAAAGAGCAGTAACTAAATTATCCACAACGTGTTGGACTTGTCGCATTCCAAAGACAGCGCCCTGGTTCTAAACGGCTTTCACAGAATATGGCGTTCATTGTTACACTCGTTTTCGGCCGTCAAAGCAGCAGCTGAGCCTGCCTGTTCTAAACTCAGCGTATCAGCGTAATTTGTTTAGGCGTTCACATAGATCCCTTCATCTCACTGGCAGCCTTTCCAGCGTTCCATGAGCCTCACTTGCCAGTCTGCTTTGTCTTTTTGTGCTTATTTTAAAGCAGTCAATCTTCAGTCATTTGAAAGCGGCGAGCGTCAACAGGTTGAAGTGATAACTGTCGATGAGAAGCTCTCAGTGTTCATTGATTCGGTTCAAAATATACCAGCGGAATGGATGGAGCAGTTTCATTCATTCTACGTTGGCGTTCACGTATTGCATGGGACAATCGAATTGTGTCGAGGAATTAGAGAACCCACTTGTCCGCTCATTCATGACAACGTTTTTTCGTATTGTCGAATGGACACATGGGTTAGTTTTTGTATAATTACCCGAAATGTTCATGTACGTGGAAGTCCAAGACACGAAACTGTAGAAGGACTGCACTTCGGCTTTTGGCTGCAACTCGAGGACCACGCACGAATGCGTTGGTCAGCATAGCTTAGTACTGTCGGTGGCAGTATGCTGATGGTTCGGGTCAACCCAGTTCAGTAATATCGATGACAACCCAGTGATAGGCCTTTGCAGATCAGTTACACTGAGGACATCGCACTGGTGCTCCGAACCATGGCATCTGGCTAACGTCAAGTACAGAGTGTTGATGGGCCGGAACATCCCGATGTCCCGGTGCATCAACGCTCTGTACTCGACGTTAGCCAGATGCCATGGCTCGGAGCACCAGTAGCACTGAGATCAGCGTACAGATGGTTCCAGATCCTGCCAGTTCTGGGCATCGCAACACAGGTAACACTGAGGGCAGGCTCTAACAGCTCAAGGCATCGCAGCTCATTAGTATCGAGGACAACACGCGATAACATCGAGAGAAACTCACTGGTAGTTCGGAACACCATAGCTCAGCAGCATCGGTAGTTCTTGACATTGCAGCTTAGTATGACAGTTTGGCAGTGGTTCAGATCACCTTAACACTGTAGCATCGAAGGATGTCACACGGATACTCCACACAAGATCCCTGTATGTTCCTTATCGGGTGTTCTGTAATCCGTGCCGAAATTTCATATAGCATTAAGCATTAATTTTCAGGCCTCTTTCGATCTACAGATCTGCGTGCTGCCTCGCGAAACACGTATCTTAGTAATGTTTTATGGTATAGGTCAGTCTACATCAGTTGAGCAGGTAAGCATGCTTTTTGGTTGTATTTTTAATAATTGTCTAGGTAGTTGAGACAATTCAGAGCAGCGCTTAAGAATTGTAGCCTCTCCCCCTCCCCCCGCTTTCCCTTCCCTCAGCCCGCCTCCCTGTTCGCATCATCACCAAAACTGTACTACAACACGTTTGTCAAATAATGTTCAGGCTTGCGAAATCTGTGTCCAACTTTGTACAGTGAGATGTCATAGACTTGCTGCACGCAATTGTCGGAAGTAGTAAAAATTTTTCTCCAAATACGGCCCAATGCAGAGTGTATTATACTGACTGTTTGAAATTTTTGCTGTCAGTTTTCCAGAGTTAGCAGAGCTCGAATTTTTGGCCCACCCGTTTTCGCGCTACAAATTTGTTTTTGCCAGAAAAGTCATTTTCAGTGTTTATGTGTTCAAACAGATATTCTAATAAGTTTCAGAGCCATTCGCCAAATACCGTTGTTGAGCCTCCAAGGCCCTTTGAGCAACAGCTCGGCTTCACTTCCTTTCCAGTCTTCAATCATGAAGGGTTTGTTCTTGCTTTAATGCAAATTTTAATAACAATGCCTTCTGTAACCGCAGTTCTATTATTGATGTGATTCTTTCCAGCAGTGCAGCTGGCTTCTGAACTACCGTAACTCAGTATAAGGTGGGCATAAGCGATTTCCTCGGCCCCATTAATGACATTCCAGTCTTCGTTTTTTTTTCTTCGAATCATTCTTCAAGAAACATGCGTGCGGTTTAGTAGCTACGTTTTCCAGCAAATACAAGGTGTACCAATGGGAGGCAATGCTAGTTCGGATATTGCCGATCTGGCATTATCAGTCATGGAGTACCGGTTTCTTCGTAGGAATCCCCGTACACATCTTCATCTCTTTCGATATATCGATGACATCCTTATTATTAACTGCGCTAACTTTGCTGAAATAGCCAATAAAATTTATGGGCCCAGCTTGCAGCTCAACACCACCTAATCCGGACAAAGGGCTTGCTTCTTAGACCTCGAAATTTCGTGCCAACGGGGCAGATGCATCTTTAATGTATACAATAACACCCTAGATTATCCGTTCACCATAAATCACGGAGCTTATCTAGATAGTGATATGGACCAAACGGTGCAAGAAGGTGTCATTATTTCGCAACTTCGTTATGCACGTATATGCACTTGTCCAGAAGGATTCCAGGACTGGGCTTGGCGTCTTATAAGTATCTATAAGCATAAGAAGTTTGATATTGCCAGACTAAAACGTTCCGTTCTCA